TCTGCTGGACACCCAGATAGACATGATAATTTTTGCTCCTTTTCTGACATTCTTCCTGCAAGATACAACACTAACAATACAGCGAGGCGAGAAAGCTTCTCCTGCCTCGAGGGCAAGAGGATATAACTTCACCCAGTGCTGACACAGCTCTGTGAAGAAATGTCCGGTTTTGCAAGACTGTGAGAGACACAACAATATATCAGAAATGCTGAGTGAAAGAAGCATTGCTTGAATCCCAAGGCAAATAACAAATGCTGCTTCTACTGTTTACTATCTGTTTTCCAGCGCGTCTGTGATATTGAATGTGACACATTAGAAAACGAACGGAAAGGCAAATTCATCTAATGGCAATAGAGAGGAGTCAATTGCCTTTTTATAAGTTGACCTGCATTTAAAAACTTATGCTAATTCTGGTGTACCCCAAACACTGTAACTGTTAAACCCAGCAACCTACAAGTTAAGTACTTCTTCTTCTCTCACACACTGAATCTCTTGATGTCTTTGTAAATTACAACTCCAAATGGTCAATTCTGCTGACACTTGATTTGACAGTTGTGTCTCTCTACAGCCACACAACCATCAATCCTGTTATCTTCTTACCTTCCTCCCTCTCCTTACCAGGGATCGAGTCCATGAGATAAAATAATGGATAAGATAGACTTACTTGCTGAGTTACTTACTGATTCCACACTGGGGAATTTCACTTATCACAGGAGCTCCAGAGTCACAACACAATAGATAAATAAATAAAATAGAAGAATACAACATACAATAGAAACAGAAAACTAAGAATAAGAGTCATATATGGACTATATACAGCTTTTTATATACAAATGTGATTAATGGAACATTGTACATGTCACAGGAGGAGGTCGTGGCACTGTGTTTACAGTGTATATATATTTATACACGAAATCTAAGGCCATAATATGAGGCTAATGCTTCATTAATACCATAGAACACCCTGGGAGTCTCATTAGTGATACTAGAACAATATTTTTTTTCAATATCTTGCTTTGAGAAATATGAAAATGTTTATGTACAATAGGAAGTGTGTTAAATTTTATAAAGACCTTTACTGAAATAACACTGTGTACTGATCAAGTTCCCTGAGAACAAATTCTCATTTACAATGACGACCTGGGCAATAGGCAGCGATAGAGGTCGATACAAGACATTATAGTATACAGAGTGTGTGTGTGTAAGATAAGGGACCCAGACAACTTTTAAGTCTGTGTTGAAATTATGTTATGTTAAAGTCATCCAACCAAAGTTAAAGCTGACCTAAGCACTAGGATTTCCTGTGTGTGTGTGTGTGTGTGTGTGTGTGTGTGTGTGTGTGTGTGTGTGTGTGTGTGTGTGTGTGTGTGATTTGTGTGTGTGTGTGTGTGTGTATTGTGTGAGTGTTTGTAATCAGCCTTGGTCCAAACATTCTACCAAGAGCTGTCGTAAAACACAGAGCCATGTCACCAGTTACTGACCAGTGACTTTAGCACATGTGACCAGTTACTGACCAGTTACCTTAGCACAGGATGGCCTTCCCTACAAACAAAAATGCCCTGCAACGGTGTGATTATAATGCTTCATTTGTGTCACTGTAACGTTACCAGTAGTTACTTTGCTGCTACATTGTTGAAATGTTACAATGCAACAGGTATTTTATGGTGTTATACAATGTCTGTTCAACATCCTCTGCAAGACATTACTTGTACTTTATAACCTGACTGCAACATTGCTCAAATGTGACAATTTACCTAGGTATTATAGGTTGTTGTTCAAAGTCTGTGCAACTGATGAAATGTCATAATTACCCAGCAAATTGTTTCTACTGTTTGCTGCACCCCCACAGCCAGCACATAAAAGGCAGCGAGCTGCACACTCACCATGCTGCTGCAAGTGAACAAAAAACAATAAGAGTAATTTATTAATGTAATCCACACAAAAGATGTACTGGCAAGGAATATAAACACTAAATAGATTACAGTTAATTCAGGTAACTCAAGCAAAGAACTGCAGGATGCATTTAAAAGGGAGAGAAAAATTCCCTGGATAAAGCAACAAGATCAAGAAAGATTACAGACGAGTTTATTACCCTACTTTTTTTATTTTGCAACAAAAAAAGAAAAAAACAAAGAAACAGCTAAGCTATTCACTTATACTATATAGGAAAATACAAGGTATTGGATCGGGACTCACTATCAGCAGATACTCAAAAATAAATGACTTGGCTCAGGATCAGGGGCAAAAATGTTTCATACTGGACCACTGATTTTTTGCAGAGGACATTAAACAAGGTAATATTTTGTTTGTTTTTCACGTTAGGAAAATTATTAAATCTAAAATATTTTAAATGATATCTCTCCATCCATCCATCTCAATTTCGTTTTATCCTTTCCTGATCATGAATACCAATTCCATCTCATCTCAATTTCTTTTTATCCTTCCCTTTCCTGATTTTATCCTTTCCTGATCATGCATACCAATTCACTGACACTAGGCCACCTGTCAGCCAATCACTGTGGACAAGTTCCAGATTTTCAGTAGAGCTGCTGGATAGGTCTGATGGTTGGTATCTTTAGAAACAACTCTCCGTATGACAGCACTTACACCTAGTGGTACAAAAATTTAATTACAACACTTAACCGCCAACATGCAGATTGGGACTGGACACTGTCATATTAAAAGATAAGATATAAGATAAGATATACCTTTATTAATCCCCGTGGGAGAAATTCAAATTTCACACAGCAGCATTGTGGAATATAGTGCCAAAAAAGAGTACACTGTACATACAATAGTATCACAAATAAGAATATTACAAAATATAATAGAAAATATATAACTATAAATAAGAAATATATACACCATATGCAATGTGCAGTACAATGGTGTGAAAATATTTTAAGCAGCTTGACTAAAAAACTCAACTGTACATGTGCAATTTAAGATAAATAATATAGGTTTGGTTGAATTAAAACTAGTCTTAGTCAGCGAGGGTTGAAGGTACTGGGTGCTGTGGCGTTGTGGAGTCTGATGGCTGATGGTACAAACAAGCCTCCAAACCGCTTTGAGGCTCGGAGCTGGATCAGTCTGTGGCTGAAAGTGCTCCTGAGCTGCCTGAGCTCAGTGTAGAGAGGATGAGAAGGGTTGTCCATGATGGCTTTCAGCTTCTCTCTCATCCTCTTTTCAGTCACAGCCTCCACACTGTCCAGCTCCATCCCCACCACCGAGCTGGCCTTCCTCACCAGCTTGCTCAGCTTGTTGGCACACCCAGTGCTGATGCCTCCCCCCGCACAGACCACAGCAAAGAAGAGGACACTGGCTACTACAGACTGGTAGAACATCTGTAGTAGCCGAGTGCACACATTGAATGACCTGAGCCTCCTCAGAAAGAACAGCCTGCTCTGTCCTTTCCTGTAGAGGGCCTCAGTGTGATCGGTCCAGTCCAGTTTATTTTTAAGTGTCACCCCCAGGAACTTGTAGGTGTCCACCATCTCTACCCTCTCTCCCCTAATAGTAACTGTGGAGGGGGTCCTCTTGCTGCGCCGAAAGTTCATTTTTATTATTTTTTTATTCATCTTGCCACACTTAACTAATAACTCGTTTAAAATATTTTTTTGTAATTATTTAGTACACTGCTAACTGGGAAAACTAATATTATTACTGAAACAATACTGCTGTTGTGTATGTAAAATGTTGGATATTTGAATGTGAATTATATCCATGTGCTTGTGTCTATAATAATGTTGATGGAACCATGCTGTTACACCCTGCACATTGAACTGATTGATTTGTAATGAGGTCATGGGGCCAACATCTTGTAGAGCTAGGCTTATTCATCTGCGTATGGAGTTAGATTTGTGTCTTTATTACATGCGAGAAAATAAATGATCTGAGAGAAAAAAAAATGTTTCAGAGAAAAAGTTATTACACTGATAGCAAAAAAGCATTTGAGAGAAAAAAAATATTTGAGAGAAAAAGTTTTCATACCAATAGCAAAAAATAATAATATTTGAGACTAAAAAAAGTTTTGAGAGAAAGTATTTTCTCATAGAACATTAAAAAATATAAATTTGAATTTTTAAAAATTATTTCTGAGAAAAAAATACTTTTTTTTAACTCTCAAATATGTGAGTTACCCATCGAGTTGTGTGTGTCATCATCTTACCCAAACATTGGAGTCTCTGCGCTCAACTAAGGCAGCGCATCTATGCCGGTGAATCGGCAATGGTGTAATGATTCAGTTCGACTCCCAAGACGATTCTCACCCGACTGGCCAATAGGAACGTGGCCCCGCCCATGACATTATTTTCACAGCGAGAGCAAAATCCTGACACGAGAGCAAGAAATTGCATCGAGAGTAAAGACTTAGCTTTTGAGGGAAACACATTTTTTTGAGAGAAAATGTTTTCACACTGATAGCAAAAAATATATATTTGAGAGTTCAAAAAAGTATTTTGAGAGAGATTTTTTTTTCTCAGAAATAATTTTTAAAAATTCAAATTTATATTTTTTTTATGTTCTGTGAGAAAACACTTTCTCTCAAAACTTTTTTTAGTCTCAAATATTATTATTATTTGCTATTGGTATGAAATTGGCTTTTTCTCTCAAATATTTTTTTTTTCTCTCAGATCATTTATTTTCTCGCATTTAATAAAGACACAAATCTAACTCCATAGTGTTCACACACACTAATCCTCAAATATCAGCGCTTTAAAAAACAACAACATATTAATGTAACTATATACACACATTGGTGTGCTATATATGTTAAATATTGTCAATCAATGCATTTATTGACTTCTCATTGTCTTTCAGTTGTGTGTCTCTCTGTTATGCATTTAAATTGGCCGCCAAAAACTTCCGGGAATTCTCTGTAGGCTACGTGAGTCACGTGACGATCAAGCATTTTGCCGCGACTCTTACGTCTTAATGGCTCTCGTCTAGTACTGCGTCACTCTTGTTTTATCCAATCAGCGGGCTACGTGTATCACGCTGAGGGTTCACAGTTCAGGGGTTGCCAAGGAGAGAGGAAGATGGCGGCAGGCGGACTGAGCTGTAAGCGGCGCTGAAACAGATTTCATGGGCTGATAATACTGACGAGTAAAGCTGAGTCTGACGACCAATCTTTAAGACTGTACTTAGACGAAATAAGGACGGTAATGGCGCTGCTTTACGGCTTGTTATGGCGGCTCTTGCTGGTTCTGGTGCACGCCAACAGAGCGCTTGTCTCCTGGCTCCGTGTCCGCCTTCGGAGCTGGAAAGGCCGGCTGTGGGAGCGTACGATGGCCGCTCTTGTTCTGCCCTCAGCCCTAGCACGGTTCCCAGACCATCAGAAGAAGTTAAATCATAATAACCCTGATGCTAACGCTAACCCGGTCAACCGTACTGCCAGTCGCCGGTCACGGTGGCTGTCTGACGGCAGGTCTTTGGAGAAGCTGCCGGTCCACATCGGCCTATTGGTCGCGGAAGAAGAGCCTAGTTATACGGACATAGCAAACCTGGTGGTCTGGTGTATGGCTGTTGGTATATCTTATGTCAGCGTCTATGATAATCACGGTAAGCATTTTACACTTAACCCAACTTTGGTACTGGCAGGGACAGTCTCAATCTTCGGGGTGTCTGCTGCTTGTACTTGCTGAATAAAAGCACACTGCTATTCATTTACCATTTAACAATAATAATAATTTTATAATCTTGTTTCTGCTGAAACTACTCTCTCATGTTCCCACCAAGTAACGCTGAACAACTTTAATTCCAGTTGGTTGAACATTAAGGTTAGAAGAGAAAATGTGTTTTATGTCATATTTTTAAATATAATTTTATAGCAAGCACTATCTGTGTTAACTGTTAATTTGCATGTGTATTTTTAGTAAGTAAAGTCTCCCCTGTGTACAACTGCAATTTAATCCAGAGGTTACAACATATACAGATTTCCTTTCACTGAACAACCTCTACAGTAATGTTTATAAAACTGTCTAAACTATACAATTGTTTTCTTATCTCATTATTTAGCCCTTTGTGTTAGAGTCGTTTGATTTGATAAGTTTATTTGACTTTTGTACCTCATCTGAACATAATTTACACAAGCTGAAAACTAATCCTCCCTCCCACTAGGAAAATGATCCACCCCCTGTGGCTTATTTCTGTAATGTCATGTGACTGTAGAGGTTATATTAGTTTGTTCCACATTGTGTGGCTCAGTTGTACAGTTATGCAGGGACTGTGGTCATTTTCCACTCTCTGAGAAAACAGAAATGCCTAAATGATAATATATTATCGAACCTAGCCTGTTGAAAACCTGATATTTATAATTTGGGTTTTAATTATTATACTGGTTTAAACATCCAGTGTGATTTCGTCCAGCCTCTTGTACAGTTTGAATGTCAGGCCATGCACACATACATGTACATGATCCCAGTTTAGAACACACTATGCCTTTTTCTTTGTTAGTATGTATATTCTTTTTGTGCTTGAATTAAGTAAATGACATTACGCTGGCCCTGTCTACTCTTTTCCATCTCATGCATCTCCCTCAGGGGGAGCCATCTTTGAATATGTACCACTGATTATGGTAAATGGTAAATGGACCTGTACTTGTATAGCGCCTTTCTAGTCTTCCGACTAGTCTTTTACACTACGACATGTGATCCCCGACAGGAGCCGGGGATCGAACCCACAACCTTCTGATTAAGGAACGACCTGCTCTGCCTCTGATCCACAGCCACCCTTTTACAACTAGTACTGCCCAATAACTTCAGCTGTAGTAGATTCAGATTCAAATGGAAACCACAGCTTGTGGATGCACAGGACACATAATCTTTGATTCACCACTTTTGTGGGAACTGTTACTTGGAGTAATTGCATTTTCTAATTTAACTGTCAGAGCAGTAATGTTTCATCTTTCACCTGCAGCCTTTACTATTCCAACATCTTAGTGTAATTATTACACTACCCTACATTACCCTCAGGTATTTTCCGGAAGAACAACTCCCGTATGCTGGAGGAGATAGTAAAGCAGCAGCAGGACTTGCTAGGTGTAGACGGATCCAAATACAATGTGGAGTTCCTGAGCAATGGCAGTGACAAACACCAGCACCATGGTAAGTAAAGATTTTTTTCCTTCCCAATAACCTGAACCTTTTGTAAAGGTTGATACCGAGTACTGATCCAATACAAGTGCGTTTAAAAAAAAATATATACGTGTATATATAATATATATATACTGCCCAGCTTCCTTCTCCTCTCCTTCACAGATTACCTATGTACAGATAACTGTATTAACAAATATTTCAGTTAATTATTTTTTAACATGTTGTTAATGATTTAATATACCCTGTCCACCAATTCTAGTTGACATTGCTGAGAGCTGCTTCTTCTCTCTTACTCTGTGCTGCTTGTCACAGCTTTGTAAAACACAGCGCACTGAGACCAGTTTATTACTGTATATAGTATATTAGTGTTCTTTTTGTTATCTGATATGAAAAACAGTTGTCATGCCTACGGCAGCGTATTTCTGCAAAAGTTTCTTGTTATTACAATATATTCTTCGTCTTATTATAATATAAAATATTTCATGTTATAACATGTTAACTTTATTGTTACAACAGGAAAGTTTTCACATTATAACAAGATGAACAGTATATTGTTATAACATGGAGCCTTCCGACTGGTCAGTGAGAAATGAGCTACCTCAAAAGGATAGGGCTCATTCTTCCTTCTGTACAGCTCCATGTAAAGTCCTTAATAGAGTATGCATACTTTCATACTTACTCACAATATCATCCACTGTGCTAAATAACAATAAGGTCTCGCCATTTCTCAATCTAAGCATGAAGTACAACTTAATCAAATCACGTAAATGAGTTTCCTCATTCAAACATGACTTATCACATTATAAGTTGAAACTTGAAAAGTTTGCTGTCATAAGTTTATATGTTGTAATAAATTGAAAAGTAAGTGTGTACATAAGTCATTTATTGCTTCACTCATACTAGACTGCAGTAGATTAAAATTCTTCAAACGACTAAGAATGAAGGGAATGTAAAGCAAAAGGGGAGCTTTTATTATTTGCTTGAAATGAACTCATCCGGTCTCTCTAAATTGCATTAACACAACAAAGACATAAGGTGTAATTAAAGCAGCATCCCAATGCAAACATCTGGGCACTATTATGTTTCCCCCACCACCTTTTTTATACTGCCCAAGCTTCTATGGAAAAAAAGAAAAGAACAAGAAAATTAAAATGAAGTCAGAAAATAGTAAAGTTTGGGCTCTTCTGACATTTTATGAGTTAATCAAGAAAATGGTCAACAGATAAATCGATAATGAAAACAACCATTTGTTGCAGACCTGATGACCTTTGTTCAGTGAACATAGCAGCAGGAGTTTGTAACTGGTTCAGAAAGGGTCTCGGTTTACAGTTTTTCCCCATTGGTTTGGCTAATTTCTTGAAAAAGAAATAACATTCTCAAAACTCTAAGATCATTTGGCAAAACAGTCTTACAGTTCAGCACAACACCATAGTTCACTTGCAAAAGCTCATATCTCTCCCAAAACAGTTCACTCGTGTGTCAAAACTAAATTCCTTTCTCATATAAATAGTCATTGCCCCCAAAATGCATTGTCCCTTTGGCATTGAGTAAGCACTGCAAGTCAAAATGTTTAGATGTTTTGTCACTATGGCAGAGGACCATTGAAATATCCCTCATGTCCACCTGTCAGTCTTAGCCCAGTCCTTCATTGACAATGGTTACTGTACTAGTTTTTTTTGTCTAGCCAACAGAATACAATTGTGTATAAAACTGAAAAAAAAAAAATAGGATTTTACGGTAAGAGTACCCTCCAAGGTTTGACATCAGACATTGCACTCCTACTGCCAAGGAAATTGTAACCATTTTTTTTCACACACATAAAGGTACTTCCATACATCAGAGTTAACAGAAAATGTATACAGCACAATATACTATAATATAAACACAAACTAAAAATAAGGAAAATTATATGTAGCCTACAGTGCTGTAAATAAAGCTGGAGATTCAAAATTAACATTTCTTCACGTGTTTGGCCCATCTGCCTCTGGCCGCCCACTGGCATACACTGCTGTCTGTGGCCACAGATTCGTCAATCACCATATATTCTCCTTGCGTGAACAGGGCGGCGTGCATGTGCACATCCTGCACTGATCCTGTAATATCATCACACGCAGCGTCTATTGCATGGAGCAGGGACCTCGATTTGAGCGATGCTATAACCTCTACCTAAGTGGAGAAGAACTCCTAATAGGATGAGGAAAGGAGAATAAGGTGGTAGGAACACCATGACCATCCTGGATGAGTAGTGAACCAGGCCCTGATGAGCGGGCCACGGTGGAAATTCACATTGTCCCACACAAATACATACTTTGGTAGGTGAGGACCTACGAGACTACTCATTTTCACGGATCAAATCAGAATGAAGGCGGTCCAAGAAGATGAGGAGCTTCGTGTATTGTAGGGCCAAGACTGGGGATGTGGTGGCCACACCATTCTCAGAAATGGCAGCACACATAGTTATATTGCCCCCACGCTGGCCTGGGACATCCACCATGGCCCGGTGGCCAATAATATTACTGCCACGTCTTTGGCCCTTGGCCAGGTTGAAGCCAGCTTCATCCACAAACACGAGGATGTGAGGGGTCTCATTTCCTTCCAATGCCATTATTCTCTACAAAAAATCATCAAATCAGTCATACAGAAGAGTCATACACTAGAGTAACAGAAAATTACATAGGAATGTTCTATGTTCTCCTCCACAAGTTCAATATACTACTGGCCACTACTCCAGTGGTTCCAAACCTGGGGTACATGTACCCCTAGGGATAGGCCTACGCAGAGGTACTACAGAGGGTATTTGAGAGAAAGGGGAGGTGGGAAATCATCAATGACTAGACACACTGAAATGTTACAGTAAAACCCCCAAGTATTAGATAGATCTGCTTGGGAGGCACTAATTGCAGCTCCTTGACCCCTTTTCTTACCATATGTGATATTCTTCAAAATAAAGATTACAATGATAAGCTGCAGTTTTTAGTTTAAAGTTCAAGTCGGATAAAGCAAATACTTGGATTCAGATATCAGGTAAAAGGGGTACTGAAGCCCAAAAAGTTTGGGAACTTCTGTTTAATTGTGAAAAGGTTATAAAGATAGACAACCAGTAACTGACAGCATGGTGTCTTCGTGCTCCTCGGCCTCTTCCCCCTATTCTACCACCACGCACCCTTACTCCTCCTCCTCTTCTTCCTCTTCCTTAAGCAGGCAGTTGTCCTTATTCATTTACTTGGTCAGGTGCCTCCATGTTCAGAAATTGTACTGGTCCTGTTCAAGCTGTATACATACATGTTTGGCAGTATTCACAATCATGGACACTGGACAGCACCTGTCGGGTAACTAAACATATTGTTTGATTGGTCATCTGAGATGTGTGAAACTCCTCCTTCGTTAGTCAAGTTCTATTTTCACCTGACTGTCAATTTATCAAATGTTCCAAGAGATTCATATATGGTATTCATGGTATTAGGTTCTTGACTAATTTTGACAATTTGAACAGACTATTGTGCATGTGGTAACTTATACAATGAAATGATGCTGACATGTTTTGGAGAGAACAACCATTAGACTGAGAATCAACAATCAGTTTAGATCAACAAGATCTATTCACTTGGAAATTGTGCTAAATGTAGGCTACCTGTACTTTAATCATTTGCAAAGATGTACTAGGACATTTGCAATTTGATGAAATGAATGAGAAATTCAATTCTGTTGTGAACAGTTGCCCAGTGGTTTGGATGTTTGTCCATGTTATTTTGAGAATGGAATTTCTGTTTCAAGAAATGAGCCAAACCAATGGAGAAAAACTGTAATACTGATGCCTCTGTATGACCTACATAAACAAACAAGACTGTCAGAGAGAAACCAGCTATTCATATCGTGAATAGTCATCATCATTCATCATCATCATTTTTTTTTATTGATTAATCTATTGATCATTTTCTTGTTTAGCGATTAGCTGCTTGATCTAAAAATTGTGAAAAATGTTGATCAGTGTTTCCCAAAGCACAAGGTGACATCCTCAAATGTCTTGTTTTATCCACAACCCAAAGATATTCAGTTTACTGTCACTGAAACCAGAAAATATTCCCATTTGAGAAGTTGAAATCAGAGAATTTGGACTTGTTTTTCTTTAAAAAGGACTCAAAACGATTAATTGATTATCAAAATAGTTGGCGATTAATTTAATAAATGAAAACAAATTGATTAGTCAACTAATTCTTGCAGCTTTACTTGAAAACCAGGACAAGAGTACTGCCTTCCTTGGCGTGGTGTTAGACTCGTTTTCCAGGCTTTTCTTCCAGGACACAAAGGTGTGTCTCACACTAGTTTAGCACAATAACATCGTATCTATCAAGGTTTACCTAGATTTATTAGTTATTCATCAAGGTAGATAAAAACGGCTCATTATAAGGTAACAAAAATACAACAATTCTTATATTCGGATGATTATACACTAATAAAAACTTACCTATGAATATTATATTCTATTTCTGACAATAGATCCTCCTAAATGTTACACACTGGACCTTTAACACAAAATCCTCTCAAATTAGGGGTGCCTGGTGTTATGTGTATAGAGAATAAAAAGAAAATGCAGTTAAAAATTCTCACATTTACACACATACAGCCTATTAATGATCAAATGTCTTTATGACCGTTTGTAAGCAAGTGTTGTCCTGTATTGTCAAGAAAAACTGGTGGAAAAGCATTTGCTAAAAGGAGTGGGGAATGCTGCTTGCAGCGAGGAAGCTGTGGAGCAGGTGCAGCCAGTTTGCTTGCCGTCAACTAAGGCAGCATGCACACTGCTGTAGTTCCAGTGTCTCCTGTACCCTTTGGATGGGGCACCCCCACCCTGGACTTCCTTTTAGAAGACTGTATAGAAATGTAATTGAAAGTGTTCCAGAATAGTGATTGTTTAATTTGAATATAAAACCAAGATCAGAAATCCCTATTAAATAAAAAGACCAAATGACTGAAGAAAGACAGGGTAGAAACAGCTCAGTGTGATCAGATGGAGCAATGTCTTCTGTTTGACACAGCTTTTTATCAAAATCAAGAAAGGCTTGATTCATTTCTTTATTTCTCATAATTATTTATTCTCCTCACTCCTAATCACTGGAATATATCTCCATTCATCTTGTTTTTAAAGCTGTCTTTGCCAGTACTCTTCCAAATTCTTTTTCCCTATGTTGTAAAATGTGCTCGTCATTCTAGATAGTGCACATTCCATCCTATTATTATAGGTTTCATGTAGCTGGAACGTGAGGTCATATGTTTATTTTAATGTTGTTTTTGCCTTATTTAACAGAAATGAAGAGAGAATAAGCCTTTGTGTTTTGTTTTTTTTTATCCACCAACCATTTTATTGTTTTGATATTGTGTGTTGTGTGATATACAGTGGTGTCCTGCAGGCCCACAGTGAAGGTGTTGTCTCCAGAGGACGGAAAGCAGACCATTGTCCAGGCAGCGCAGCAGCTCTGTCGCTCTGTGGAGAACAAAGAGAGGAGCTCCAAAGACATCAGCGTCTCCATGCTGGACATACTGCTAAGAGGTACCAGTTCATGGCTGTGTGTGCGTAGAACATATCAATCACAATCAATGAGTCTTGTGTTTGGGATGCACTCTACCTCCAAGTCCAACATGTCTCAGCTTTCTATTTTGTTTTTATGTTACGTTCTTAATATGAGGTTTGTTGCCAGGTTTTCACATATGAGAAATTTGACTTGGTGTTTTAATGCATAACAATAAACAGTTAGTAGAAAATATAAAGAAAGATTAGTCAAGATAGAATTATCAAATAGAAAACTGACAATAAAATATGTGTGTCTCAAAGAGTTTGTGCCCGTTGTGTCCACAGTGGCTTTTCATTATGCTATCTTATACTTCCTCACGTCTGCTCTCCTCCTGCAACCCAGAAGTTGTTCCTACTCCGTCATCATGAAGGATCTCCCAATTTCTTAAATGCAAGGAGAGATGAGGAGCTTAAAGCGAGGAAACACAGATGTATCCTGCAGAGAAGTCCTTTATCTGTCCACCGATTGTGAAATTCTGGGCCAATACACATGTTTAGAATAATAGTTTGGCCGATAGCCCAGGCTGATACTGATGTGTTTTTTGTTACTTATTTGCCCTATTGTGCCAGGAAAGCAAAGAAATCTAAAAAGATCATCTTCTCTGCCTTGTTGAAGCTCAGTCTGTTTTTCTTCTCATGCAAGACGTGAGACACAGAGCTGAATAGCCAGTCTGTCGTGCTGCTGCATGGAGCACATCAGTGTTTTGCATGCAATTTGAGCCAGTGCTGGAAAACAACCAACAGTACATTTAACCAACGCAAAACTGATGTAACACAACAGATAAACATCAGCCATTTTATTTGTTGATGTTCGTCAATAGGGTGAATATCTCCTTTTATTAAGTGGCATGGTCGTCATTTTAACCACACTACACCTGTTTGTATGTTTGACATGATTGACTATCTAACTGACCATATTCAAACAAAATCCAATCAGTCTTAATTCACACAGATAATTCTCGTTCTTAGCACTGCTTCCCAACCTTTTTCCTGCAGGGAGTCTTTTCTATCATTGAGTAAACTGACTCAGTGACATATTGTATGGCTATTTCATATTATATTCAATGTGTAACAATAACAGTACAGGAGAGCTAAAATAATATAAATTGAACCAAACTAGTGAACACAATAACTGCAGGAAGTTAGTGTAAACTGAGAGATTGTTCATTTTGAGCAGATTATTTCCTGTGAATATAGCATTAGAGATGAGTTTTCCAGTTTTTTTGCGACCCCTAGTGGGTGTCCTGACCCCCTGGTTGGGAGCCACTGGTGTCGTGGAATAGTTACATGGTGAGATAATGTGTCGTCACATTGTGTGAGTGGTAAATCATTTCCAATATAATTTAATTACAAAGTGTTAATTAACGTAAACACATTACGCAGCTATGTAACTGCAGATAAAAATAATAAAAGTAAATAAATAACCTAAGTAATCGTAACAAATCTGTACATGAATTAGAAGATTTAAAAGAAATATTAAATGATGATTAAAATCAATAACAGTAATAATACTACAAATAATCAGTTATGTTAGACAAAATACATATCTAAATTAATACGGTAAGGTTATAAAATTGTTTCTAAATAAAGGTTCTGTGGATATTTGTACCAGGCGGTTTGAGTGATACACCAACATCATAAATAACTTTTATTTATATATATATATATATATATATATTTCAAATGTTGGAAGTGTTGAGTTCATATGGATGGTGACATGCTGCCTGTCTGTGTGCTTGTTTCAGAGTCAAAGAATATTCCAGACCCTGAGCTGGTGGTGAAGTTTGGTCCTGTGGACAGCACACTGGGCTTCCTCCCCTGGCACATCAGACTCACTGAATTCATGTAAGATTCTGTCCTTTTTTGGCTCTTTGTATTAGTTGTCATTTTGATTGTGAAAAAAAAGCAACACCATTTGAACAGTAGATGGCAATGTTTAACTTGTGATGTGTTCAGCTGTGTTTGAAATGTGTGTCCTGCTCTGTGTCCTCAGTTCGCTCCCCTCCCACAGAAACGTCTCCTATGAGGACTTGTTGGGCGCCCTGCAGCAGTACAGTGCCTGTCAGCAGCGGCTTGGCCAGTGACGTGTGGGCCGGCATCAGGTTCTTCAGAGAGGAGAAGTGTGGGGTTCACACAGTCAGAGGAGAGTTTGGACAGGTGGTGACACCTCCATGCCTTGCTGTGTCTCTGACTCTGTCCATCTCCTGGATCCCTATCAGACTAAGACTGCTCAAAGACGTGGAAACAAGGAGACAACTCACTTCCTGCCACCAGCTCTTGTCTTATAATAAACTCACATTCCAGGACTTCTGGAACGTGCTCTCCAAGCCAAGAGAAAATAGAACATCAGAGACACACACTGACATGAGAAGACCGTCTGCACAGACTCAGTGTCCCACAAACCCTTTTCTGTCCTCTCAGACCCTCTTGCTCATTGTTTGTCATTCAGTCTCCAGCTGCTGTTTACTGCTGAGCACTTGCCTTCACTCAGCAGATAACAAGGAAGAAACGAGGCTTTGTGCCCATCCTCGTGAGGCATCCTGGGAAATACAGCTGCACTGTATGGAAAAGCTCAACTGCCAACAACAAGAGTAGAACAGCGGAAGTTGAGCACAGGGACAGAGTGGTTAATACTGTGTAAATAAGAGAAATTAATTTGGCTCTGTGTTTGTCCCTGTGGCCTCCAGCTTGCAGTCATGTGTTCATGTGTAGTGTTGCTTCAGACACATACAGAGGTTGTTTAAGGTTCCTGTTAGACTGACCAAGCTCTGAAATAAAGAAATGCACTGTGTGTGTTTGCTGACAGCCCTGATAGAAAAGTCAGTTTTCTGTCACTTTAAAGGATAATTTCATGACAGAATAATCTTAACTCCCCCTAATGTCTGTCTGTCTGTCTGTCTGTCTGTCTGTCTGTCTGTCTGTCTGTCTGTCTGTCTGTCTGTCTGTCTGTCTGTCTGTCTGTCTGTCTGTCTGTCTGTCTGTCTGTCTGTCTGTCTGTCTGTCTGTCTGTCTGTCTGTCTGTGTAATGAAATTCACTGCTACTAGATGTCACACCAGCACCAGCATCTCAAATCAAAACCAGAACAATGGTTGCTACAGCCAACCAGATTCCACTTACAAAACCAGTAATTTTACCTTACAGAAAATTGTAAAACACACCAAAACTGTCTTTCTTAGTCTTTCCAACAATCACCAACTCTGGTCGAAATAAACCCTTACTTACCTATCTGTCAGATGACACAATATTTGTATAACGGGCTACCATGACGACAATGTAAGCTAATAATTGGTGACAAAAGGCCTTGTTTTTGGACTGACAGGCATCATTGTGTTATGGAAAGGATCCCTGCAGAGATAAACTTGTTTAAACTTTGTTTAATCAGAAATAGCCGTAATATTGCTATCACTCTCCACTAGACAAAAACATTTAATTATACCTTGCATATTATTGTAACAGCATAACTTCATTTAAAATGGACAGAAACAAAAGAATAAAATGAATTCCACTGTTTCAACTATCACCAACTCTGGTTTAGTCGAAATTAAACCTTAATTCACTGATGTAGATGATAAAAACAGCAGTTTCAGTCGCTCTACTCCGCTGCACACGGAGCAGACTGGATATGGAAACAAACCACAGAGAGGCTGGGATAGCAACACAGGCAGAGAGAGTGTGACACCATGACTCAACTATATATTTACATAGAGAATAGTTGTTTGCTGCTATATTAATGTTTTAAACCTGACTTCTAACCTTTAACCAGTCTTGACTATCTTAGTTCCCTTAACTGAGTTATCGGTTATCACAACCAGAGGTCCAATTGGATTGAATGATGACAACTTAGCTGCATCCACTGATCCAGGCTATGAGATGATATCTAATGAATGATGAAACTCCACAGAAAGCTACCAGGTGGAACTGGAGTTTAGATTATGATGTAACTCTTTCACAACTTGGGTCTTATTTTCATAGATTCAAAAACATAAGTAATAACTTTGTACTGACCAAGACATTGCTCTGAGGTATATCTGCTACAGAGACTTGGGAATTGAGAGCTTCTTCTTTTGTGAAAGAATTACATGGAGTTTTCAGCATTTCTTTTTTTTAAAAATTGCCATTACCCTCAATAAACCAGAATGCACTGCTGCCACAAAATGTGTTGGTTTTTTTTATCTGACATACAGGTGTGGCAATATGAACATTACATGAATTTCATCATCTTTTCTCAAGTCAACAAACATTATCTTCATTCTTGACCTTAAAAAACTGTTGTTATCCAGGGTTCCCACATGTCCTGGAAAAGCTGGAAATTTAAAGACTAGTTTTCCAGTCATGCAAACACTTTGAAAATTGATTAAAATGACCAAATATCCAGGAAGTAATCTCTATTGTCCTGTTTGTATTTTAGCCCCTCACTCAGATTGAATACATAAACCGAGGTGCGTATTTTGTTTGAATCTTGACGGTAGGATAAACTGTTATGATAAGCACTTCAAAACTGGTTTACCAGATGCAAACTGACATCTATTTTTTCCAGAGCTATTAGCAAAATTCTTAATCTACATGCATACAGCCTATTAATGATCAGATTTCTTGTTGCTATTGTTGATTAAAGCATTCACAGTGATGTTAATTGTAGATGCAGTGAACACTAACTAGAAGATGATTTCTGTAAAATAATATAAATTAAACTTTATTTGAACTTGCTGTTTATTATGGGCTCTGGCCAAATTAATGTAGTCGATTTGCCTGAAAGTGCATCTTATATGATCTAAGCATGTGCTGTCCTGTATTGTCAAGAAAAACTCTTTCAAAATGTTCTGGAAAGGTCCTGGAAAATGATTGGATTAAAAGAAAGATTCAATTTAATTTTCAATTCAATTTTATTTGTATAAGGCCAATTCATAACAGAAGTTATCTCAGGACACTTTTCAAATAGAGCAGGTCTAGACCGAACTCTTTAAAACATTAATTACAGAGACCCAACAGTACCACCATGAGCAAGACACTTGGCGACAAGGGCAAGGAAAAACTGCCTGTTAAAAGGCAGAAACCTAGGACAGATCCTTCGGCTCTAGGTGGGTGGTCGTCTGTCTCGACCAGTTGGGGTGAGAGAGAGAGAGAGAGAGAGAGAGAGAGAGACAGACAGACAGACAGACAGATAGTCAGACGCACAGCAACAACAGTAGCAACAACTAGTGATGGCAGTGCTACACTGAAGCTTCAATACGTGCTTCGAACCCTGAACTACAATTCCATAGAACCACTGCTTCAAAGCTTGCTTTGGTGCGAAAAAAATCCGAAGCAGCAACAGTTTCATTGCCTGAATGAATCAGCTGACTGGTTCGCGGTCCAATCAGGTGATTCACTGGCCCGATTCCGACAGGTGACAGGTTGAGACAGTTTTGAATTTGAATGCCATGAACACTTTATAACCGCTCTAAACAATGCACAATTTGTGGGTTGTTATCGTAGTTGGAGAGTTGTTACTTTTGAGTTATTGCGTTTGTATTGATTCATTACGTTTGTATTGATTCATTACGTTTGTATTGATTCATTACGTTTGTATTGATTCATTACGTTTGTATTGATTCATTACGTTTGTATTGATTCATTGCGTTTGTATTGATTCATTGCGTTTGTATTGATTCATTGCGTTTGTATTGATTCATTGCGTTTGTATTGATTCATTATGGAGCCAGCCAGGAAGAGAGGTCGTTCTAACATGAGGGAATACTTCAATTTGGTCGCTCCTGGTAAGGTAGGTGTGCTGTTTAATATGTAAAGTAGGAAAAGTAAAGTTACATTTACAACAGTAACTACCAGTACGGTACTATAGCTATGGTCCATCTCAAGTTTATATTAAGTAGCAACACACTAAAATAATGTATATGATTAGTATAGCCATTATAATGTTATAAGGAGTTCGGTCTACACCTGCTCTGTTTGGAAAGTGTCCTGAGATAACTTCTGTTATGAATTGGCGCGGTACAAATACAACTGAATTGAATTGAAATTGAATTAGGCTATAGCTGTATAGACATTTTTATTTACAAATGGCTTTCTCTACAGGTCCAGTGCTTGGTGTGTTCGGCTGAACTGAAGTATCATGGCAATACTTCCTCCATGATTAGGCACTGCCAACCAGGGCAACACAAATCAAGGTATGTATTATATCATTATTAACTAGACACACTAACACAATATGATATGACTGTATTCCATGACTCATAGACCTGCTTCATAGAAATGCAATTTCACATAACTCCTTATTTTATTTTATTAATTTTCTTTCTTTCTTTCTTTCTTTCTTTCTTTCTTAGTAGACCGAAAGTGAGAGCTAGATGAAGCTCTTGTCAATATGATGGTGAAAGACTCGCAGCCTTTTTCCATCGTGGATGACTGTGGCTTCGAGAAGTTTGTGGCATTGCTTGATCCCACATATAGTCTTCCATCCCGACGGGCTCTGAAGAACATGGTGGTTCAGAGGTATGAGGTGGAGAAAACCAAGGCCAAGGCTGTACTTCAGAGGGTAGAGGCTGTGAGCCTGACTGCGGATATGTGGACCTCCATTAATATGGACGCATATCTAGCAGTGACGTGCCATTATCTGGATGAGTCTTTGAAGCTGGCCACAGTGTTTTTGGGAGTGCTGCCTATCCCTGAAGCCCATACAGCTGCCAACATTACTGCTGCAACGAGGTCTCTCATGGAAGAATGGAGCATTGAAGGCAAAGTAACATCAATTGTTACAGATGCAGGAGCTAATATGGTTGCCTCTGTCAGAAGCTTAAATTTGAGACATGCACTTTGCTTTGCTCATTCACTTAATTTAGTGGTGAAGAAGTCTCTAGATGCGACTCCTGGCCTAGAAGACCTTCGCACAAGGGCAAGCAAGGTGGTCACATTTTTTTAAAACCAGCACAACAGCAAGAGAAAAGCTCAAAGAAGTGCAGGAGCAGATGAACCGTCCTGTAATGAAGCTGATTCAGGAGGTGGACACAGCACCTTCCTAATGCTGCAATGTCTTTTTAAAGAGAGACAGTCAGTGGGGGCAGCTCTTGCAACGCTGAAAAACAGATGTGAGACCTCTGTCCTCCGAGGACTATGAGACAGCCGCTGCATGCCTGCAATTGCTGGGCCCCTTTTACCAGGCAACAGTAGAGCTGTCAGAGGAGAAAAGGGTCTCAGGGTCAAAGGTCATCTCTATGATAAAGATGTTGATGCTGTACTTATATGACACAGTGAGAAACATAAGCCACAACACTGCAAAACAACTGGGACAGAACTTGGTGTCGGTGATGCTTAACAAATTTGACACAACAGAGAACCAAACTGCACTGAACCTGTCAAACACTGCTGGATCCAAGATTTAAAACCCTAGGCTTTTACAACCAGGTACAAGCACAATCATCAGTAGCCTGACTGCACAGTGTTCCCAAGTAATAAGAAACACCCCTACTGAAGAACAGCCTTCGACATCAGATCAACCAGCACCAGCAAATGTTGGAAATCCTCCATCCACAGGTAATGTTATAAATAAGTATAAAGTAAATAAGTAGTAAAACATGATACAAATTGAAACCTTTCAGTACTGATGATTGCTGTCATGTTTGTCTTTCAGATATTAACCTTTGGGCAACTCTGGATAGAGATGTGTCTGAAGCCAGGAGGGCAAGGAATGCCACAGCAGATGCCACAGTAGAGGTGCAGCGGTACATGGTTGACCCATCGCTGGAAAGATCGGAAGATCCACTGGATTACTGGTCCAAACACCGAAATGTTTACCCTCCTTTGTATATATTGGCGAAACAATTTTTATGCATGCCAGCATCAAGTGTTCCATGTATTCTCCAAATGTGGAGAAATAGTGAGCAAAAAAAGGAACTGGCTCAATCCAAAAACTGTTTTCAGTCACGTGATGCTGGCTCTGAACGAAAACGTGTTGTGGATTAGCTAGACAGGTAGGCTAGTCCTTTATGTCCCTCTTGGCGATTATAGTTTTTCAAAATGGCGGAACGACATGAAAGCCTCCATGGACTTGCCCATCCAATGTATATACAGATAAGAAATTCTTTGCTTATGAGGATAAGTCAGATCATTGGCAGAGGTCATTTTACACCAATGAGGACACATTTATGAATGAAGACATTGATTTTAGCTAATAAAATACTTAAAACACTACACAATGTCCCTTTAATAAAAATCTTTGACTGTTCCCAGTCCCCTCCTGTCATAGTTACACAAGCACACCCCAACCTATACAATATTTTCCCAGCATTCTCTCCTCAATAACATAATACACACATTCATCAATCTTTATTTGTAAATAGAACATGATATAGATAAGAATTTTCAGAGGAAATACACTTTAAATCCAAGGGTGATCAGAGCAAAGATGCTTCAGAACAAAAGGTGTTTTCTACAAAGTTCTCTAACACTGCTCGCTAGATGTGTGCGCGTGCATGCATGCGAGTATGTAATTAAAAGCCTCATGTCCATCAACCAGCCTGCCTAATTTGACTGCAGCCTTGCACTTTGCCAGGAGAGGTCACTGTAACTGAAGCCTCGAGTAATGAACCCATTTTCGAAACAATTGGCTCAAGTGGTTCAGTGCTTCACAAAAGCTTCATTTGCCCATCACTAGCAACAACTACACCAATAGTAGTGACCGATGATGATGAACACGACAACAGCAACGATGGGGGACAACGAGCAGCGACAACAGCAACAATAGTAACTGCAGCCATAATAATACGCATAATAATAATAACACTAATATCGAGTTGGATTTGGACTGGTCTAAGCTGGCTAGCATCACAACGGACGGTGCTCCGAGTATGGTTGGTGCGTCGCGGGGGCTAGTGGGGCGCATAAAAAGAGAAATGGAGGAACGAGGTCTCACCCCCCCACTACAAGTCCACTGCCTGATTCACCAGCAAGCACTGTGCTGCAAAGTTCTGAGGTGGGAATCTGTCATGAAGGTGGTTGTGTCTTGCTTAAACTTCATCAGAGCAAACGGGACTAAAACACAGGCAGTTCCAAGCTTTTCTATCCGAGCTGGAGTCAGCCCATGGAGACGTGCTTTACCACGCTGGAGTCAGATAGTTAAGCCAGGGCAAAGTTTTGAAGCGCTTTTACGAGCTGCTACCCAAAATCAACGCCTTTCTCCTGACAAAGGGAAAAACTGTCCCAGAGCTGATCGACACAGAATGGAAATGGGACCTTGCCTTTTTAACAGATGTGACAGAAATTTTAAACAGCCTCAATTTACAGCTCCAAGGCAAGGGGAAATTAATCTGTGGCATGTATTCCCACGTCAAAGCATTTGAGGTTAAACTGGCGCTGCTTGTTGGACAAGTGCAAAAACAAGACTTCACCCATCTCCCTACTACTCGAGGCCTCTCAGCTGAGAAACCAGCAGTCCCATTTCCAACCAAGGAGTGCAAGGACGCACTGGAAACGCTGTGAGCGGAGTTTAGTGTGCGGTTCCGTGAGCTTCATGCCCACGTTAAAGAAATTCCCATATTCCAGAACCCTTTTGCTGCCGACATTAATGACACCCTGCCTTCTCTTCAATTTGAACTGGCTGAGACGCATTCAACCCCAACTGTCTCATAGAGTACTATGCTTCCCTCCCAAACGAGACCTACCCCAACATCAGAAAGCATGCAATGAAGATGTCCACAGTTTTTGGGAGCACATATATCTGTGAGCAAACTTTTTCACACATGAAGCTCATAAAAAATCCGACGAGATCAAGACTCAGATCAACACCTGCATCAGTCTCTGAGACTGGCTGTAACTGGAATGGAACCTGACATAAATCTCCTCACCAGTCAGAAGCAAGCCCACAGCTCACACTGATATGGTAAGCCTGCTGATTTCAATAACTATGAATATGAAAAATGTCAGTATAGTAATGCTCTTTTTATAGGCAACATGTTTCTTGAACAGTGATGTCACAGTCAAAATGAGACTGCAGCATGTCATCTGCTGATGGGCTGCTTGTGTTTTTTATCTGCCATTCCTGAAGGGCCTGCATGCTTCCAGGACCACCCTAAAGTCAGGAGGAGAGATTGTGGTTGACCGCTCCCACCCTGGAGCCAGGATCCTCATCATCACAGCACAAAAACCTAATCTAAGAGTCATGTAAATACCAAACCAGATCACCTTATATACCTGTTTATTACAATTATTCTGTATGTTATTTCACTGTAGCCTTAGTAAACATACCTGTTAAAATACTTGACTATTGTTAACTCACCTTTATCTGAGAATACAAAATCAGCTCAACAAGATAAGACTACCTGATTCTTACCATTATTCTGTTTTAATATTATTTCACTGTGTGGCCTTAAGAAACAAACTAACCTGTCAAGACAAAATACTTAACTGTTGTTAACTCACCTTTACTTTACTCCGTACATACAAATTCAGCTCACCTAGAAGACTACTTCACCTGATTTACTATTATTCTGTATAAATATTATTTCACTACCTGTAAAGACAAAAAACCTACCAATTGTTAACTCACCTGCACCTGTTACAAAATCACATCACCTCATTGTTACCTGGCATCAGCTTGTGTTTTTATTTTCTATAAAATAAAAGGAGTATCTGTGGTACTTCAAATAAACACAAGAAGACTTTCTATTACTTTTTTTGCAGACCAACAGGTGGTGCCAAGGCCCAGCGAAGGGCAGCTAAAAGATTATCATTATAATCTCCACAATAATACTGGTTGTCACTTTGGCCCATATTATTTCCTGTTATAGACTGACCCTGGCCCCCCATCACAGAAAGGAAAGTTGATGTGGCCCCCACCGAAAAAAGTTTGGGGACCCCTGATTTAAGGTATTAATAAGCTAGCGCTAGCTAGCTAGCAAGCTAAAGAGAATTAGAGCTAGCTAGAGAGGACAAAGCATTACTGTGCTTATTAAACGTCACAAAAGACACTAATAATATAACTTATATTAATGAGTAATTAATTATGTGTTATTGATACCATGACTTATTATTGTTATAATTATTATTATTATTATTACTAAATATTTATTATTCCCATCATTGTGGTTATTACTTATTTAGTTACTTTAGCAATTTCAATTAAACCATGATGCTTCCTGCATAATCCCAGGACAATATTATGCCAAGCTCCATTTAAGAAATACCATATATTAACAATTATTTGGGTTTACATAAAAGCACATAACTGTAGAAACACAAGAAAAAACTCAACATATCTCAACAGTCTCCTTGTCAATTCGGCAACAATATAATACAAAAATACAAACCTTTTGGCCGACTTTGTCGCATCAACTCATTACCAGCCTCACTATTTCAGTGGGAGAAGATCGTGGGAATAGATGGAAAAACGCGATTCATCATTAAAATACGTGGTGGTTGGTGGATAACGTGTATGCCGAATTAAACACAGGTAAGAATGCTGATTAACCGTGTATTATGTGTGTCATGGTGAAGGACAGAGGAGAGAGGTTACGATAAACAGAAAATATAGGAAGATAAAGATGACCCCTGTCTGCTCTCTGACCTGCCTCTCTGCCCTCTCAACTCTGCCCTTCATACGTCATCACCGTAACAACAAGCTGCTTCCGCGGGTAATTTGACATTTAATAACTTTGATTGGAGGACAGTGGGATGAATCTAATCGTTTTTTCTCCGGCTCTTTGTCTGAGGTAAGAGGATGTATTTTTTTAACTGTATGTTTAGCTAGCATCCTACCTTTATAATTGTGGCTTATAATGTTAGCTATATTAATTATGTTAATTATGATGTTCCCTTTAATCATAAATGTGGGAATATTTTAGATTCAGCTTGTTAAGTGTTTCATCTTATGAAAATTGTCCTGAAGGGGAACAAGATGGAATCAACAACATTAAGCTAAGTGCTCTTTTTTCTTTTTCATTTTCATTTTTTATATTTCATTTCTCACAAATATTACATATTACATTATTGATGTTTTGTTAGCTGTATACTTATTCTAGCATCTAATTAATGATTTTCTTTTTGGTTGTTTTTTGATTGTTCATAAATCTGACACCTGATGAACACCATGCAAAGAAAGATGGCAGCAACCCCAAAGACAAAAGTAGGATCATCAGAGAGGACTACAGCGAAGACGGCAGCTGATCAGAACATCAACACCAGATGACACGGACACAGTATTAAGACTGGCGATGAGCAAAAGAAGGACGGCCTGGAATCCTGGAGTTGTAAATGAATGAATAAAGTAGCAATGACTTCATGAGCTTCTTCTATAATAAAATTATTACTATTAGAGAGAAAATTAATCACCAACTGCCATCAACAGTTATCAGTGGCTCTCCAAGTTCAGGGACTTCTGCCAATGTAAACTTATATATATATAGACTGCTATCGATCTTCATCAGTTAACTTCAGTCATTTCTTCATCGAAGCCATCAACCTCTCTATTAGACCCGATCCCAACTAGGCTGCTTAAAGAAGTTGTTCCCTTAATTGGCACTTCTTTACTGGATATGATTAATCTTTCTTTATTATCAGGATATGTACCACAGTCCTTTAAAGTAGCTGTAATTAAACCCCTTCTTAAAAAGTCCACTCTTGACCCAGGGGTTTTAGCCAACTATAGACCGATTTCTAACCTCCCCTTCCTCTCTAAGATTCTGGAGAAAGTAGTCGCCAAAGAGTTGTGTGACTTTCTACATAACAGTTTATTTGAGGATTTTCAG